GCCCAGCACCGACGCCTTCGACCGCAGCACCGCCGCCGCCAGCGCCCACGCCGCCGCCCGCTCCCACGCCTTCACAACCGCCCTCTGCCACTTCGCCGTCACCGTCGGCGACCCCCGCTCCTGGCCAGCCGTCCTCTGCCCCTTCGCTGTCACCGTCGGCGACCCCAGATCTAGACCAACCGCCGCCGCCGCCGAACCCCGTGATGCTCCCGCTTGGCTTACGCCATGCGGCAGCTTCGCCCGGGTACGAAGGCCGAGGGTATGACAGACCCGCGGCTGCCAAGCCGTACGAGATCGGGCACAAGGCACAGCAGAGGACTCATCTCGATGCTAGACAAGAATACTCTGGTGTCGATGCTCGAGGCTCGGAGCGCGGTGGATGAGGAGCGCAGGGAGCTGGGGGGGGCGGAGGCCGGAGAGCCGGGGGGAGCGGGGACCGGAGGGCAGGCGGGAGCACTCGCAGCTGTGGACCCGGGGGCTGGAGGAGCGGGCTTTCCACTCGCATTTGTCACGCTCTTGCCAACCGGGAAGACATCGACGCCACGCTGCGAGACCAGCGCCCGCCGGAGAAACGCCCTGACCTTCCTCACTGCCAGGCCAGCGACCTTCATGTCCCCAAGAGCTGCAAAGAGGCCATGGCGTCGGAGCACCGGCACCTTTGGAGCGACTCTATGCAAAGGGAGTTTGGCTTGTTGGAAGTGGGGACGTTTACTCCGGGGAAGTAGCAATTAGTGGAGAACGCAATTAATGCTAAGTGGGTATTCGATTGGAAGGCAGATGGGTTTGGATGGCCCACTAAGAGGTTAAGTCGAGACTTGTAGCGAGAGGTGATATGCAGAGAGAGTACGTTGACTTTGGAGAGTTGTACGCGCCTACCGTTTCTGTTTCGTGTGTTAGGATTTTGGCTGCTTCGGCGTGCGAGTTGAACCTCGGCTTGTGTCATTTCGATATTGAGCAAGCTACTGTGCGTTCGGAGTTGGAGAAAGACGTGTACATACATGCGTTTGCCGCTGGGATGCGGAGCTCTATCTGGAATAATTGTAGAACTAGGCGAGAGTCGGTATGGCTTGAGACAGGCACCTAGGCAGTGGCATGGAATACTGAAGAGGTGTTTGATGGCGTTAGGTTTCGAGCAGTGCATGGTGTGTTTCGTTTGATTGAGGATGGATGTGTTGTTTTGATTTTGGTAGTACATGTAGATGACATTTTTGCTGTGGGAGAGAGGGAGAGATGTGACAAGTTTGGTGCCGACCTTAACAAGTCCGTGCCAGTGAAGAACGTGGGAGAGTTGAGATGGTATTCTTGGTGCTTTTACGAGAGGAACAAGGAGACCGGTAGGTTGACGACTTCTCAGCAGACTTTCACGGATGAGCTAGCAGCAGAATATGGAGTAGTGGGAGGTAAGTAAGAGCGTTCCGATGTCTTCGGGGGTGAAGCTTTCTGATTGTGATGCGGATGAGGTGGCGACAGACTTTCCGTTTCGTGAGCTGGTAGGATCGTTGATGTGGCTGGCGACTCAGACTAGGCCAGACATTGCGAATGCAAAGGGCAGTAGCTAGGTATTGCGCATCTTCGAAGCTGTTACACTGGAATGCAGTGATGGACATTTTAGGCTATGCGAGGAGGACGAGTCACTTTGGTATTTCGTTTCAGAGAGGTATCCCTAAGCTTGCAGGGGTACGCTGATGCGGACTTTGCAAGCAAGGCAGCAGACCGTAGGTCGGTATCAGGGGGGATCGTTCCCAGTGCCCCAAAGCAACGTCCAGAACGTGCTTGCTGCACCCCGCGTAGTTTACCTTTCAAGTCGATGGTCTTCGTAGCTTGCATGAACGTTTTTCGCCACGAATCAAATCCGTGGCTACGCCTTTTTCTGTCAAGAAGCGGAGCATTGACCGTCAATCTTTTCTGGTGGCTACTGTTGTAGCCGTCGAGGTATTCTCCATTTCCTAGAATCACGGGTATCCCACCTGGGGGGTTTAACCCCCTCGCTTCCCCGTAGTCCGGTCCTATGCCCGGGCCCACTCCGGCTGGTCTCGCAGGTTTTCGCTCCCGATCTGCTGGCCCAGCCGCCTTCCAGCAGCTGCCGTGGTCATTGCCCACCATCTCTCGCTTGCTGGTGGAGAAATCCCCCGCCACCGCCGAGCGGCAGCGTGGGCTCTCCCGTGGGGGCCACTCAGCCGCCACTGCTGACTGCATCCGCCACGACGCTGCCAGGCTCCTCCTTCTTCACCGACTCCTCCACCAGGGCCGCCAATTACGAAATCGGCAGTCGCAAACTTGCAAGGTCTGCCTCGCGGCCCTCCTCCACCGGCGAGCGGATCTGTTTTCTGTTGACCACTCCTAGAGCCGGAGTGATTGCCGGGTATGCCCGTATTTGTGTCCAGTGACTAGAAAGTCTCGTTGATTGCTTGTATTAGATCTGCAGGACAAACGCGCGACAGACAGAGGAGAAAGAGAGTGCCCCACACAGGCTGACGCAGCATGAGGGTGCCCCACACAGGCTGACGCAGCATGAGGGCACCGCAGAATCATCCAAGTCTACTACAACAGGTACCACAGCGGGTTCCTTCATGTACGAAGCACAGAACCGTTCCCCAGATCCTTCCTACATATGCACACACACGAACACCCTCCCTGGTTCCTTACGCTAGTAATTGACCATCACCGCGTGTTGCTCAACGTACCCGGACACCACCGAAAAACCAAATAGAAAAAAAAGGCTTGCAAGGGAAAACCCGGCCTCCGAGCCAAAAACCCTCGCAATGATTCCAAGACTGCCAAAAACAAACATCATCGTTGTCATCTCAATTACTCCAATTTCCTACAAACGAAGGCCAAACACAGTGCTACGTTGGCACTTTATTTCAGCTACTCCAATTCCCCTTCATGGCGACATACCAAGCGGACCAAACTACATCGATGGTTCGAATGATCATCTCAACATTTTCAGGGAAAAACAAACATCAATATACCAACGCTAGCTGAAACACAGCTGTGCTCTCCCGCGACATCTGGCCTCCAATTCGAACAACAAGGAACGACGTTGATACGATCAAAACACGGTAGCGACTGTTGAGGGGAGGTCGTCAGAGACATGCACGTTCACTAACATCAGGTTAACGCCACATTGGATGCCCTCCCATATTGTGCGACCAAACACAAGAGTACTCAAATTGCTACCAGTATTCTCTGCTACAGGTACCAACCGGATTTGTCGGTCTCAGCGGGGGTCTTCTCTCCATTGCCAAGTAGACTCCGGTTCCTCCCACCCACCCGCAAAAACCCCTGCTGCTGCTCGCCACCCTGGTAAGCGCGCCGACTACAACGACAAATGCCCACGCTGCCCCCCCTACATCTGGAAGCGCGTTGGCGGAGATCTGTGATGACTGTGCAGCTCCCCCCTTCATCTGGAGAACCGCCCAACCGAAAAGCCCAGCGCTGCCCTCCCTACATCTGGAGGCGCGCAGGTGAAGAAATGCCGCCCTCCTCTACATCTGGAGAGCATTAACCGGCGTTGCCCCCCCTACATGTGGAGGCGCGCCGGTGAAGAAAAGTTGCCCTCCCCTACATTTGGAGAGCGTGGACCCGCGTCGTCCCCCCTACATCTGGGGACGCGCCGGTGAAGAAGTGCTGTCCTCCCCTGCATCTGGAGAGCGTTGACCTGCGCCGCCCCCCCTACATCTGGGGGCGCGCTGGTGAAGAACTGCTGCCCTCCCCTACATCTGGAGAGCGTTGACCCGTGCTGCCCTCTCTACATATGGAGGTGCACGGGTAAGGAACTACTGCCCCCCACGTCTGGGGTGCGTCGGCTGGCGCTGCCCCCCCTACATCTGGAGGCGCGCTGTTGTGTAACCACTGCTGTACGTCCCTCCCCTACATCTGGAGGGCGTATACTAATGCCCTCCTCCCTTTTTTCTGGGGAGAATACCTGTGAGATATATGCGCTACCCCCCCCACATCTGGGGGTGCGTGTTGGTACCCTCCCCTACATCTGGAGAGCACACCTACGAAATTTTTCGCCACCCCCCTACATCTGGGAGTGCGTGTCAGTATCAGTGCCTTCCCTTACATCTGGAAAGCACAGGTTTCAAGAATTCAAGTCGTCCCCCCTACATCTGCGGGCGTGGAGTGTTCGGGCTGGGTATAGTGGGTTTCCTACCTTACATAGCATGAGAATACCAACAGTCAAAGAAGTACGCGCAGACCCGACGAAGAGCGAGGACGTAGATTTCTTCAAAGGGACAGCTCGGGCGCAGGTGCACCTACCCATGCGTGAAGGAGGACTAGGAATCACGAGCAATGTTCTCATTCGATAATCGACTTTTGTGGCAGGGCAAGCGCTGGTGTTCTCCACGTCAGTGCAAGCATCGACAGGATACACAGTTGAGCAATGTCTACCCCGGCTTGCCCAGCTACCGACAGGATTTGCTCTGATTGACTCGCTGAAGAAGCTAGAGGAGATCATCACCAAAGACAAGCTTGAAAAAGCTGTTGGGCAGTCATGGGCTAAACTTGCCACAAGTGATGAGTTAACCCCCGCCCTCAAAGGAGTTTACTTGTTGGAAGCAGGGAAGGCGGGAAAACCCCGTGAAGATGGAAACCCTGACGTAGAACATCAACCACCGTCTACCTTCAGCCGAAATGAATTTGGTCAACACTACCAAGTCTTTGGAGCCCAAGCTCTCCTTTCGAAACCTCTTCATGCAGCAGTGCGCCACATGGTGGAGACAGACTTGCAGAAAGTAGTAGGCGAGGAAACGCCAAAGAAGAGGGCGTTGATCCGCTTGGAGGAAGCGAAAGGCAAGGGAGTTTTGTCGTGGTTGACAACGCAAGGGTTGTCAGCAGATGAAAGAATGCTGCCTGATCTATATCGAGAGTCAATCGGTCGTGTACTGGGGAGTCACGATCGAGCAGACTGCAACACAGGCAAACTTTGTGGTGCAGGTGCATTGTTACCATGCAAGGACCGCTTGAGCCGAGCCCACTCCCTCGTCTGCACCAAGACCGGCGCCTCAACCTTCCTCCATAACAGGATGGTTCGAGTGGTCCTCAAGACACTGCGCGAGTGCCATATGCCCATCGCCGTTGAGGATTCTTCCCCTTTTACCACAGGCACTGGTAGGGGAAAGGGGCTATACAAGATGGATTTGGTAATCCCCCCAGGATTACACGCAGGAGAGAAGGAAGAGGACCTCTGCACCAAGTCCATTCTGATCGACGTAACAATCGTCAACCCATCAGCAGGTCGAAGCATCGACAAGTCGATCCTTAAGCCAGGATCAGCCCTCGAAGATCGAGCTGCAAGTAAGGCAAATCACTATGCGGGAACTTTCAACCCGTCTAGATCTACCCTCCTTACTGCTGCTTTTTCAACGAATGGTGGTCTTGGCAAAGGCACCAATCGACTCATCGTTGCTATCGCCAACCACTTGGCGCACGAAGCTTTTTGCCGGGAAAATTTTGACGACGAGAGGGCCTTAGTTCGCCTGAAAGCTTTTCATACTAACAGGATTCGGAGACGGTTTACCTTCGAGCTAGCTCGTTTTCTGTCGATGCGAACTCGCGATGTGTTCAAACGTCATGGGCTACTGATCGACCAACTTCCACCAGGGCCAATCGGTTGGGATCTCTGCGACAACGATGGTAGTGAGGGTAATTCTTTTGGGAGTGACGAAGACGAAGGAAAGGGAAAGGGAAGAAAGGAGGACGAAGACGACGATGGAGCAGGAAAAAATGGAGGAGTGGAAGAGAGCAAAGGGTTTGAGCTGACCTTCCCCACAACAAGAAACGTAGGGCTAGGGAAGAACTGCCCAGGGATTCTTCTTGTCAAAATGAGGATCAGAATGATGGTAGCGAAAACAAGGAGGATACTGGTGAAAGTACTCCTGAACGAACTCGAGTACTAGGTAATAGCCTTGGTAGACGGGTGCAGATTTCTTCTGTTGCTGCTGTTTCTGTTTTTGATCCGAAGGATAGTTTAGCCTACCACATGCTGCCCCCTCACGGGGTCTCAGTACATGGTAGATAGAAGGGTTTTGTGTTTTCAACCGCACTATGACTGACGTATTTTCATTGGTCAGCCGGTTAGCGCGGTCGATGGTAATAACAAAACACAAACAAACGCACACCAGGTAGGGGCCCCGTGACTCATCGCGGTGCCTCCTACCAAACGGAAATCTTACCAATCTGCGTGATGACACCAAAATCATACAGCACATACATGTATCCAACACCAATGTTCGAAGACCCACGAACTAAATCCATCAAACTCTCACACATAGATATTGTAGGCATGTAATTCTTTGCAGCTGCCTACTACAGCGCCCATATTTGCACACAACTCCCTAGTTCTAATACAAGGTACCACAACCCGGATCAAATATACTATTATTGCTCTACTTCATCTTTTGAAACGGCAACACTTACAGTCTGGCCGCCCGTCCTACCTCAGCAGTAGAAGGTACCACCTTCAGCGCGGTGGACGTCAATCTCCTGCTGGACGACGACACGGATGATCAAATCTTCTTTGTGCTCAACATATTTCATATTTTGAAACGACATCACTTTCCTTGGGCGGGTTCCGGGCTAAAGACGATTTTTTTTTGGGGGGGGGGACAACTTCTTTCCAATCCCGCTAAAAGTATTGAAAATTCAATAGTATCATTGCATGCCCTAATGATGACGATCTGCGAAAAAAAAAAACGTCCGTAGTGCCCGGGTTTCAACGAGTTTTATCGATTTCCCACGGCGAATTTGCAAAAACGCAAAAAGCGGGGATGGACGCTAAATGTCCCCGGGTTTGAAATGCTCAGATCGACTTGACAACTCAGGTCAGGGTAATTTTGGGGTGGGGATCATNAGCCCCGCGTTGGCCCCTACAAAGAGGTAGGCGTCTCGAGTACCTGTGATACCTTTTAGCTGCTGCTCCGGCCTGTAGACAGCGCCCAGCCCGATGATCTTCACATGCACACGCCAGATGCAATACGGCGACCACGTGGCGAAGTTGTCCGCGAGCTCCTTGTTCCCAGCCCCGATGTGTTCAAAGTACTCTTTCAAGAATTTCACCACACCAGCCGCCCCTGCGATGAGATCGCCACGTTTCTCGGACATCCTCATGGCGTTCTTCGCCACACCGCCGATCCCGTCGTGGCAGCCTTTTAAGTGAGAGGTGGCCGAAAAATGGTGTTCGACGATACAGCCAAGCTGCCGCACACTGTCAGCCAGAAAAAGGAAGTTGCGCCTCCCGTTGTACTGCTTGGCGCACCCGTCCGTGAACATGTGCATGCGGGGGATCCGTTGGGCTTCCCGAGCGGCGGCAGTTGCATCACTTCCGGGCCCATCCAAGTAGTAGTCGGCAATCTGAGTTAGCGCGTGGCGGTGAAAGTCGAAGTCGTGTGCAGGGTCCTCCGAAGCAAAAATCCATGTCTCGGTCTGGTGAACCCTTCCGCCGCCCTCCCACAGCTGCGGGCTACAGTGTACAATTGCCACCATGAGCGTGGTTTGGGGATGCCCCGCGCAGGTGAGGACGGTCCCAGGAACGTGCGAATATTTCTCGATAAAATCTGTCTCGATCACGATATCGCCGTCTTGAAACGTGCTCAAGCAGAGCCCATGAGAGTTTGTCTGCCACTTGGCCTTCGCATGATGAGCGATGTACAGCTTACTGTGCTTCTTGAAGTCCGCCCACAGGTCGCAGAGCTTGCCCTCCTTCTCGACTTGTTGGTTTTGCAGGGGCTTCTTCCCGGGCCTCTCAACGTCTTCATACCGGGTACATTTGACAACCTGTTGCGACGTTTCCAGCGCCTTGCTGGTCGGGATGCCCCCTTCCTTCCCAAACCCACAGAGCGTGCACTCCATAGCACTGCAGGCCATGAAGCCAACCTCATCCTCCGGGTCCCCCTCTCGTAGGTCCACCTTTGGGTATGCCAGCGCTTCCGAAAACTTCCCCAGGTGTTTCCACATCCCCTTCCACGCCGCTTGTCCGTCCGGGGCGCTGCACCACCGACAGTCGCATGCTGCACGACCCTGCACGTCCACTTCGCGCAGCGCCTTCAGATACAGGTAGGTCTTCTTGCTGCGTGTGGATCCTGCTCGCGCACTGGTCTGTTTTCAGGGTAGTCAGGCACTTGCACCGTGTCGAGAGGAACAGAGTGCGGCCAGGGTCCTTGATGTCCTCGCCCTTCTCCGATTTCCAGATCCTCATGAAGTGGACGTAGTCTGGCCACTCGAAAAATTTGGAGAAAGCTGCCTCGCCGCCGCCCTGATGACGGGGCAAGAAGACATGTGACTGTCTGCCCCACCACCGCGCCCGCGGGCTTGTGGTACGCCCGCTCTCCGAGCTGCCTCTCGCTTGCCCTTCATGATCTCGTCAGCTTTTTCGCGGGCCACCTTCGACAAATCTTCTTCACAAGCCTCCGAGGTGCCGCTGTTTCTAGCAGCTGCGCGCTTGCCAGCCTTGGGGTCGAAGAGCTTGGTAGTGATCTCAACGCCGCGTCCCTCCTTCAGTCTCCAGCTCTGCACAAGTTTGAACTGCCGCTCACCAGCATACATAACGCGTTTACATTCGCCCGGGCCAGTAATCGCTGGGCCGTCACCACGCCTCATACTTCCAGACCCCGTGCGGACACCACTTTTTGCCTGACCAACTTTCTGAGTGGCTCTACCCCCCCTAAATCGACAGAGCGGAAGCGATTGCCGAGGTCGGCGAGAAAAAAAAAAGTTCGGGAATGCGGCGAAAAAAAAGTTCGAGCTGATGAAGGGCAACTTTTTTTTTTCGCCGACATTTTTTTTTTTTTCCTGACATCGTTTTTGGTCGTTTCAGAACGATCTGCCAAGTCGATTTTTTGAAAAAAAAAAATCGTGCCCGCAGGGGCAATTCGTCTTTAGCTCGAAACCCGCCGTTGCAGGCTGGCCGCGCGCACCACTGGGGGGCGGGGGGCCAATCGTTCCCCCTATAAGACTAGTCTACATACATCGTAGCATACATAATTCACGATTCAAGGGCTGGGTGACAGTTTGCGAAGGTGGTGCAGGTGACTCCGGATCAACGGTGGGAAGAGGCGTCAAGCTGGTGGTGGGAAGAACCTTCCGACGGATAACGTATTTTAAGATTCAGGGAACATCTTACTGGCATGCACAGCGAAAGTACCACGAACGACTGGAGTTGAGCCTGCCTTGGCCCGTAGGGCCCGAAGTACAAAAACAATACAGCAGGGTTCGCTCTTTCAGCGGCTATGTATGTCTCTCTCTTTCGGTCGACAGTTGTCGTCCGCATCCGTGTAGTAACTCCTTGGTACCCTCGTGGACTGCTGCACCCCATGTATGACGCGAATGCGCGATCTACCTTGATGTGTCATGTGGGCGGCAGGACAAGTGTGGTTCACTATATGTCTCTACGTAGACTAGACTAGTCTACCCTGAAATAACAAGCACGTGTGTGAACGGGATCGGGCTGATGGAATCCCTGGAGACCGGGAAACCTCGCGAGAATCCGATGGCAACTCTTCAGCGAGGTTGGCGGTCGTCATGTGCGCGAGTACGTACATGTGTCATTGTCATAGATGTCTAGGGGCTTCATACGTGTACTCGGTCCTCTGGGGTCTGTTCATGTCAGCAGGTAGGTGTGTTTCGAACTACTATTAGTAGTCTAGGTCTAGATTACTGCTGTTCACAGTTTAGACTAAATAAAGCAGTTGTGAGTACAAAGTCAGTCCCGACGTACTACTACAGGTAGTAGTACCCTTGTAGAACAAGCACAGCCTTTGGGCTGAGCCTTTACGCTACACTACGGCAGGAACGTTTTACGTGGCTCTCTCTCTTCCTCTGAATTTTTCAACCCGAGTTGCTGTGCGTCATACTCAGCAGTAAAACAAGCACGGGATGAGCGGCACCGATCAGTTGCAACAACATAATGATCCAAAGAGCCAGTCACGACCAACTCACAACGCCCATCTTCTGTTCACCTCTGTAGAGCGTTGTTCAGTACAGTTAATTGCATGTGATTGTTTCACCGATTGTTTCTCCGCCAAGAAGAACATGGACAGCAGGAAAAGATTGGGGAGTTGGGAGACAGGTTGGGTCAGGTGTCCACCAAGAGGCGCGGAGGCGCTCTTCTCGCGAATCCCGTACTCTCCTATCGGTATGTGGAGTTTGTGAGGAGCCATCATACCACACGGTCACATAAGCTTTTGGGTCACTCCAACACCTTTCACGCTTTGTTCCTTTGGGCCTTGCTGCCGAGCTCACCAACCTCACGGATAGAAAAAGGCGGCACAAGCGGTCGGTAGGTGAGACGATGATGCTGTAGCTTGAGACCCGACACGAAAAGGTCAGAGATTTGAGCGGCGCGATAACGTACGAACGATAGAAGCCGTGGTATGTATGTGGTCGAGTGGAATGCTGAAGATATCACTTTGCTGCCCCCTTGCTTATGCTGCGAAATCGCGTTGCATCGAGCGGCAACCTGTATAGCACCCATCCTTGCGACAATCGAGAGCGCAGCGGGTCCTCTCGCCTCCACTCAACTGCGTGCGTTCGGTACGTACAATGGAGTACAATGGAGTATTGACTGTGACATCTGGTCCAACGGCACAATCGTACCTACCTGTAGAATATTCTCCCTCTAGGGAAACGAGAAGGGAGGAGGTTTTTTGTCCATGTCGTCAAAATAAATTGGAGGGCAATGGACGTGTGTGTGCCAAGAATGTGCAGGCGCGTCTCTGTCTTTGTTAGGGCCCACGACATCGGGGGGGGGGGGG